TCCCTTTCCTTCGCCGTTTCCTCTCGGTGATGGGCCCCCACAGCACGTACACCCCCGCCGCCACGGCAGCAGCCACCCCCCCGATCACACCCCAGTTCTTCATCACTTTATACCTGAAACGGGAAGGAAAAAAAAAAAAATTACCACAAAAAACCCCACCACATAACCAAGCGGCCGGGAGCGTCGGCTGCAAGGACGGCGGTGGGCGCCCCTCACACCGCTCCCGGGAAGGTCCGCCCCAGGCCTCTGGCCCCACGGGACCGCCGCCTCCCGCAGCGGGGCCGTTCCGCCCTCCGTCCCCGCTGACCTGGCCGCCGCTCCGGCCCGTAGCAACCTCCGGATCGCCCCGTCCGCCTCCACGGTGCCGCCGCCGAGCAGCATCGCCCCGGCCCCGCCGCCGGAACCAGTCCCCCGCGGGCGGGCGGCGCGGCGGACGGGGCGGCGGAGCGCCGGAAGTGGCGCGGGGGGGACCCGGATAGCGCCCGGACCGCCCCCTAGCAACGGGCGGTCGCTAAGGCCGCGGGGAGCCGGGCCTGCTCCGGGCCGCCCCGTTAACCGGGGGAAGGGCGGGTGTAACGGACCGTCCCCCCCCTACCCCCGGTCCTCCTGAGGGGACGCTGGGGTGAGGGGAATAGCGGGGGGTTGGCTCAAAGCTGTGGGGAGAAGGTGGGGACACTTAAATGCCACAAGTTCAAGCGTCACCAGGGCTGGGTTTAGGCTGGATATTAGGGCAAATTTCTTCACTGTAAGGGTTGTCAGGCGTTAGGACGGGCTGCCCTGGGAAGTGGTGGAGTCACCGTCCCTGGAGGCAGTTAAAAGAGTGTCGATGTGGTGCTGAGGGGCATGGTTTAGTGCTGGACTTGGCAGCGCTGGGTTAAGGGTTGGACTCGATGATCTTAAAGGTCTTTTCCAACCTAAACGCTTCTATGATTGTGTGAAACTGCCTGAACCCTATGAAGAGAGAACAGCTCTCCTCACTGTGTGGGACACACCAGCACCAACACCCCTCTCTCTCTGATATATGAGGGCCCGCTCTGTTTGCTCTTCCACCTTGTGCTGTCATATTATTTTTTTTTTTTATTAACACATGCATTTTGGGGATTGTTTAGGGAAAGAAGCATTTCCTGCCAGTGCCAGGAGAGTGTGAAACTGCCTGAACCCTATGAAGAGAGAACAGCTCTCCTCACTGTGTGGGACACACCAGCACCAACACCCCTCTCCCTCTGATATTTGAGGGCCCTGCTCTGTTTGCACCTCCACCTTGTGCTGTCATATTATTTATTTTTTTTATTAACACATGCATTTTGGAGATTGTTTAGAGAAAGAAGCATTTCCTGCCAGTGCCAGGAGAGGAGGCATCCGGGAGGGCTTGTGGGAGACAATGACTGACAGATGCAGCTTTTGAGAGCACCTCGAGATGGCAGCTCCTGATCGTGTCTGTGGGCCTGGCAGGTAACAGGCTCCCTCCTCTGAGGGAGTGCAAGAAGTCCCTTCTTGCACTTCTGAGGAGAAGGATCTGGGTGTCCTGGTGGAGAGTAAACTCCCATGAGCCAGCAACGTGCCCTTGTTGCCTAAAGGGCCAACGGGATGCTGGGCTGCGTAGGGAAGAGTGTGGCCAGGAGGTGGAGGGAGGTCATTGTCCCCCTCTGCTCTGCACTGGGGAGGCCACAACTGGAATAATGTGTCCAGTTCTGGGCTCCCCAGTTCAAGAGAGACAGGGAACTGCTGGAGAGAGTCCAGCGTAGGGCAACAAAGATGATTAAGCGATTGGAGCATCTCCTTTATGAAGAAAGGCTGAGAGAGCTGGGACTCTTTAGCCTGGAGAAGAGAAGGCTGAGGGGAGACTTTATTAATGTAAAAAAAAAAGTAATAGAGCTGCTGGGTTCTAAAAAGAAAGTTGCTGCTTATGCTGTGAACGTGTAAGCTAAAATTCTGCTTGAAAAATGCCATTTTCTAGCAACTTGTGAGGAGGAGCAGCCCAGAGTCTCTATGAATTCATGTTTTGTAGATAAATCTCATCCTGGAACTCCGTCGGGCTGCTCTGCTGAGACCCCTCTGATAAAGGCCCGCGATGACTGCCTTCCTCTGGAAGTTTCAGCTCAGTAACTCCTCCCGTTGTACTGACTTTATCTACAGTATTTTACCCAGTGAAACAGAACAGACTTCTTGGACCACGTTAAAGCATTGAACTGTGGTTTCTTTGACCCAAATTTTCTGAAGAGGAAACATAAATCTTGCGAATCAGGAAGGTGTTGGCAGACCAGTTTTATCTTCTGAGGCCTTTTCATTTTTTAATTGTGATGGGCCAGGCCTCCTTTCGTTCCAAATAAATTGCTCGGCTCCTTGATGGTAACAAACAGCTGGAACAATGCCATTCTTCAGCCCGAATCCGTCACCGCCCAATTCAAAGACAAGGAAAAGGGTGAACGGCTGGAGAGTCATCTTGTTTATGTGTATGTGTGTCTGTGAAGGATAACGCAGAAAATGGCAGCAGAGGTGACAAAGGAAAGCAGAGGGAGATACCAAACACATCCTGAACAACTTCTCAAAACTTGTTCTCTGAAAAAGCCTATTTTTTTAGTGGTTTTGAGAATATATTATGGAATGTGCATGCATTTCATGCCATTAAAATTGTTTTTTATTGCACTTTTAGGGGAGCATTCAGTTGCCTAAGCACAGCCATCTTGATCCATGGGAGAGAACCCGATGGTGTCTGAGATGTCCCCATGGTCCTGTGTGATCCACCGTTCGGTCCTGTGCAAAATCCACACCTGGGGGTGGCAGGAGGTACAGAGTCACCCAAAACATAGCTGATGTCTAAGGGTAGGCGTCTGGATTCCACTCCTAGCCCCAAATGCTTCACTAAACAAATATTCTCACTATTTTTAAGGAAGCCAAAACCCCAGCTAGGTCAGCTGCGAGTCCTTTCTTATAAATACCAAAACCTGCTAACACTTTCAATATTTAGTGTCACAAACTGTATCTGTGTGATGGCTGCACAAGTCCCAATTCACAAAATGAAGCACATGGGGTTTGTCCCCACTACACCCAAGCCTCTTCCACCATCCACTGTGCCCTGACCTGTATTTGTACAACTAAATTCCGTTTTTCACTGGTCTTCACTCCACGCCGTCTTGGTGATTTCAGGCCATTCCTCCAATTTGTCATATATATTTTACATTTTAATCATGTCAAATGTCCCCAGGTGGTCTTCCTAGCGTGTATTTCCTCTTCATTTCCTCCTGCAGGCCTTTTTCTGCAAAGGATTCTCCCGTCCATGCAGGTCTATGCACAAATTGGGTGAATGTGCCAGGGTGACAGGACATTTTTGCAGTTAAGTAAATGAGATTTTTTCCAAACTAATCTCATTCCGCATCTGAGGAGCGCAGGAAGCCCTACCAAGCCATGTTGAGGAACTTCCCTTGGGTTCCTGAAACGCTCACTGCAATAATGCCATTTTTTCACAGAATCACAGAATCTTCTAGGTTGGAAGGGACCTTGAAGATCATCTTGTCCAACCGTCAACCTGACTGACAAAAATAGACACCCACACAACAAACAAGGAGCATCATCACTAAACCATACCTCCCAGCACTACATCAACCTGTCTTTTGAACCCCTCCAGGGATGGTGCCTCAACCGCCTCCCTGGGCAGCCCATTCCAATGGCTGAGAACCCTTTCAGTGAAAAAATTTTTCCTAATATCCAGCCTGACCCTCCCCTGGTGCAACTTGAGGCCATTTCCTCTCGTCCTGTCGCCTGTGACTTGAGAAAAGAGACCGACCCCCCCCTCTCTACCCCCTCCTTTCAGGTAGTTGTAGAGAGCAATAAGGTCTCCCCTCAGCCTCCTCTTCTCCAGGCTGAACACCCCCAGCTCCCTCAGCCTCTCCTCATAAGACTTATTCTCCAGACCCCTCACCAGCTTTGTTGCCCTTCTCTGGACCCGCTCCAGCACCTCGATGTCTTTTTTATGGTAGGGGGCCCTTTTTGTGAAGTCCCTGGCCCAAATTCAGTGGTGGGTGCCGCTGGGCGAGCCCTGTCCCCAGGGAGCCACCTTCACCGACCTGGGCTTCCCCGCAGCGGGGACGGCGACGGGGAGCCGAGCCGAGCCGAACCTCGCCGAACCTAGCCGAGCGGTGCCGAGCCGAGCCGAGCGGTGCCGAGCCGCGCCGATCCCTTCCCCGCGCCGCCCGGTGCGGGCCGCCGGAGCTGTCCAGCCGCCGTCCGTCCGTCCGCCCGTCCGCCCGTCCGTCCGTCGCTCAAACCGTCCCCGCCATGCGGGAGCGATGAGAGCAGCTCCTCCAGACGCAGCCCGGCAATGGAGGATGATTTATTCCAGCTGAGACAGCTGCCGTGAGTAGCGCCGGGCAGGGCGGCGGGGGTGCGCGGGGCTTCTCTCCCCAAAAGGGCTGCGGGGATGCAGTGAATCCCCGTGATTTTTAAGGGGAATTATTTCTAGGAAGTGGCTTAGGCCCCCAGGAAGCAGGCCATTTTCCTTGGATAGCTAGCTGCCTGGCTTCAGCATCCCAGAGGCATGCAGGCATCTGTTTGTTATATAAATTCACTCTTTTTTTTTTTTTTTTTTTTTTTTTTGCATGAACTTGCTGGCAGTAGAAATAAGGAGGGGTGGAAGAAAATGGTGGGAGCGCCGAGGGATTTATTTTTTTTTATTTTTTTTTTATTTTTTTTTTTGGGAGAGGAAACATTCCTATTGCCTTTGCAAGGTGGATGGCATCTGTAAATAACGTTTGTGCTGGGGAAGGTGGCTTCCTCCTCTCCCTCCCTCCTTCATGCCACGAACCGATGGCACATCAGAGCCCTTTTTGCCAAGGTGTCTTTGCAGTGAGCATATTTGCTGATAATTAGGATCATTTGCTACCCATATTTTAATTTTTATTTAAGAAGCAGACACCGCTGCTTCTGTAAATGCTGTTATTTATGAGGAGCTCCTGGCCGGTGGGATGTGGTTACTGGATCTGGGCAAAAAAGGCGATAAAAGTCTCGCTGCCTTTTAACACCAGTATTTTCTTCCCTTTTCACGAATGCAAAATGCTTCCTTTAAGAACAAGTGCATTTCTCCTAGTGCTCCGTTATCAGGTACTATGAAACATATTCCTATTTATAAATCATTGACTCTCCAAGGCAGGGAATAAATGCTTAAAGTTGATCTTAAATATTAATGAGCTCATGCCAATGACAGAGCAAACTGTCCCATAACATTTCTAATAAGTTGGGAAAATGCACGTGAACTCCAGTTATTTTCATATAGTTCAGATGCATTCAGCTTGTCAGTAAAAAGAGTAAGATGTGATTTCATTAGGCCGTTTTTCCCAATTTATTATTTTTATTTTAAATACAGAAACACGTTCCAAAGTGCCTTTCAATGTAGGTATAATTAGACATATTTGGTGCTGGGAGACCTTGCAAACAAACGCAGCTCTCTGAGGTGTCTCAGCTGTGAAGAATTTTGCTAGTATGGAACAGTCAATTTCACTGTGTGGTTTTTTTCTTCATTTTTGTCAATTAGTTTCATAGTTGCCTAAGTAGTAAATGTATTTTTTTTATTTCCTGTGATGAGGAATGTGGCCAGGTAGCTCTCTGCTCAGATTGCCATTTAAGTATTTACAATTTTCAGATCAATCACTGCCTTTGTAGAACGTCTGGAACCACCATCTCCAAAATGGTCAGTTCTGAAAGTCTCCTTCAACAAATATTACAAAATAAGAAACAGTAATTCAGAGGTTTTGTGATCAGGTACTTCAAAGTCAGGAAGGTTTTTTATTGGCATATCTGTTTTGCTTGTGGTTTCCTAGGACACCGAACAGTTACCAGCAGAGGTTGTATGAATGATTTGCAGTCATAATCCCCTGGAGTAATTAATGGCACTTTAGAGCTCCTGAAATCTGGTCCATACACTTCAGTGAACTTTGCTCCAGGCTTTGGGACTGCTAAAGTTATAGTAATAGTCCTCCTTTAAATAATACAAATATAAAAGTTTACTTCCTATATAGTTAAGCCAGGTGCTTGTAAAGCTTTTGCAAATAAGATATGAATGGTACTTTGATATTAATTGCCCCATGTAATAAAACAAGTTATCTCACAGGCATACAATTTTCAGTGTGTGTTTGCTGAGAGTATGTATTTTGTGGGTGATATGAGGATTATATCTTCAGTGACAATTTTAACACGAGAGTAATAATTACTTGTGTCATATAGGGTCAGCAAAAGAAAATTCAAACTCAAAATTCAATCCTCTTCATGCCCCGAATCACAGTGTGAGATAAACCCTAGTTTCACTGCAGTCAGTGTAGTTTTCCTGTTCGTTCTGAACAGGCCTGGGGTTTTGTTCTGTGTTCTTGTGTTTAAGAGCTTCAAATGTTGTCTTAGAAAACAAAATTTGTGACTGTTGTTTGTCAGCCAAGACGTAAAGGCCAAAGAAAAGCTTTCAGTTTCCTGCTGCAGATGGGAGCAGTATTAAAGTACTACAAGGAATGGGTGCCCCATAGAGATCTTGGAATGCCCTGTTTACCTGAAAAAATCATCCCAAAACACTGCAACAGTCCACAAATCATCTGTCCTCAAGATGAGTGATAACCTCATGCAATGGTCACTAGACTTCCCTCCCCAGGTTATTGCCAGAATATCATTAGTGAATATGTGCAATTCCTCAGGGGGGATGTGGTCAGGGAAAGAATATATGTGCCAGGACTATGAGAATAAATAAATAAATACTGTTTGTATCCCTCTGTGGTTCTACCACAGTGAAATCCTGAACTGGACTGAATGGCTGGTCGTGGCCAGGACTTCTCTCTTTGTAAAAAGCCCCATGGGTGACTGAGATGTTCATTCCTTCAGCCTCTTGTCCACCATTGCACCAAAAATCCATTCACGGGAGTTCTGTAGATTCCCCTTTGCCCTTATACTAAGTATTGATTGTGTCACCAGCACTTGTAAGAGAAAATAAGATTTGAGGTCTTGCCAAATAGGAAAAGTCTTTCAGATCACCTTTAGAAATGTCACCCGTGCATGTCAGTTCCCTGCAGCTGCACTTGGCAAGGATGCTGAGAGTTTAGTTTTGCTGACCTTTAAACCAAAGGATTAAACTGAAGTTCAAGAGCCTCTCCTCTAATCTTTATTGTAGAATTAAAATGTTCAGGTATCGGAAGCCAAAAGAGGTAGCAGCAAGACTAATTCAATCTATTCCCAAAATACTCTTTCACCAAAGTCCAAGAAACTGTCAGTTTCCAAGGTGAGAAAGTTACACTGATGTTGCAGGTAAAGTGAAGGAAGCTTGAGGAATCTCTTAACATTAAATATGGTAGATCTGTTCCAAAATCTATCTTTGGTCACAGGACACTTAATTGGTGGAAAATGGACTTTCTCTACATACATGAAGCGTTGTACAAAATCACTCCAAGCGAGACACAAAAGTTTTGTCAATTTAGCAAAGTTCTGTCTTCATATCTTGTTCTCTCCATGGCCTTGTTGCAGAGATTAGAGGATTGATTATCTCTCAGCTAGTGCCAGAAATGATATAAAATGATATAAAATACAGGCATCTGTGAGCGTGACCCCCCTGTCACAATCATCACCTCTCGTGCCAGGGCTGTAATTGGCAGGCAGGTACGCTCTTCAGTCTGGACTTGAACTTAATGAGAAAAGAAGTATCCTTTGATTCACTTTCTTATTCTGTCCCACATCATTACCTAAGAGATTCAAAAAAATGAACCAAGTATTAGAGATCACATAGTTCCTTAAAATACAGGTATTTAATTAAGAACTCAGTTTAAGACAAGAGATGAAAGCAATCACAGCCGTAGTCACAGGGTCATCACCATAATGGAAAAAAATTCAGTCAGTTCACTGAATTATCTTTTGAATCCAGCTTTACTAAGCAGTGTTTAAAAATCTGACAAATTTCATGTTTTGCTTCTCCTAAGACGCAAATCACTCCTACGAAAACAGTGTGAAAAATTGAATTTGGGCTATTCCTGCCAGAGCAAAGCACCTGAAATTGAATGACACAGCTATGTCTAATTCACAATGGAAGCCTGGGCACACAAAACATGGCTATCATTAAATATGTATCATTTAATCATATTTTTATAACCTCTATGCTTTTATAACTTTATAGTTAGTGTGATAACGTCCTCTTTGTATAAAAATGATGACTATATCACATAAAAATGCACTCTATGGGGTTTTTCCAAAGCCAGTAACAACCACCAGGATTATATACCTAAAATCAGGTACAAATAAAAGTCACAGCATCCTCTGCGAATGTGAAATGGAGACAGGAGAGTGGGGAGAAACCTGGCTGCTGTTTGGCCAAATAAGGCTTCAAGAATAACCATGAATGTGAAATGGGGACAGGAGAGCGGGGAGAAACCTGGCTGCTCTTTGGCCAAATAAGGCTTCAAGAATAACCAAACACAGCTTCGACCTCAAAAGGACTCACCATAAACTTATTAATCTTTGTTTCTGTATTCTCAGGGTGGTCAAGTTTCGCCGCACCGGGGAAAGTTCAAGGTCGGATGAGGATGTCATTTCGGGAGAACATGAAATTCAAATTGAGGGTGTTCGGACAGAGCTAGAGCCTGTTGAGCTGGAGGATGGAGCAGCAGTGCCAAAAGAGTTTGCCAACCCAACTGATGGTGAGTAGGGTTCTTGTTTTCCTGTTAGGAGAAAGGTGTGCCCGCGTCATTTCAGTTGTGTTACAACCAGGCTGAATATATTGGGTTCAGAGAAGTTAAAGATCCCCAGATAAAAGAAGGAAACAATAACACAGGCAAATCATGTTACACCTGAAAATCGTGGTTTAGCTACCTTGTTCTCTGAGGGATGCTTTCTGCTCAGCAGAGAAGTGCTGGCTGCCCTGAAGGCAACCCCAATTTAGAGACATGAGAAGTGTTTTTCTCTTAGCACACAGCATACCAAAATTTTGTAGGATGACTATTTTCCCAGGGACTTTTTTATTAACATGCTAGTGCCATAGGAAACCGGAATAGCATGGAGTGAGAGCTCAGTGAGCTTCTCAAAAGACTCAGTGCAGCTCTGCAGATTTCTGTAGAATTTCAGCTGATGCATCGCCCCAAAACCATGCAAGTGATGCAGCAGCCCACTCTGCTGAGGCTCAGAGCCATCACTTCAAATGCCTGGGCTAAAGTCACAATCTGAGTCTTACGACATCTCGGCTTCGTTTTATCAGTTAGATTTTGTTTGGTTTCCTTTTGGCTTGTGTTTACGGCTTTTGCTTTGTGAGGATGTCCAAGTCTTAGCCTGATAAAGCTTTTCCATGGTGAATGTACTTTTTAAACTGCTGGAAGTGTTAAAGCTTTGAGACTTAAATTGATTTAAACAACTTGAATATCAACATGTGTTTTTGTTGTGTGTTTTATTTTGCACTTGAGCAAAGGAATTCGAGATATCTCAGATTCTCCAGATAGAACAAAATAATGAGGTCATGGCAATGTGTGGGAAACAAGTACCATCAGCATTTTTAACAAAAGTGTGTTTTAAGATATGTATGTCTTAGACAAATTCATGATTCAAATAATTACAGTTTGACTCTCCATGCAATAAGATACTGGTTTGCACTTTCCATCACTTGCATGTTATTGCTAAGGGCTGTTGAACAGCTCAGCTACTTCTCACCAGAGGAAGCTGCAGTTCAGGGGCTGGTGGAGTCACTCCCAGGAGTAAGAGGCTGAACGTGTGCTGGAGTCATTGGTGCTACACTCATTTACTCCTATGTGAATAAAATATTCTAGCAATATTTAAAATTATTTTGGCTTTAGCACAATTCCTGAAGAACACAGAGATTTTCCTCAGTAGGAACTGTATAAAGGCTAAGTAGCTGTTATATATTTTAGATCTCAGTAGATTACCCAGTTAGTAAGTAATTGCATTCACAGAAAATTCTGTCTCAAGGCAGGGCTCTTATGTGGAAAGGAACACACTTCTCCACTAGAATTGTTTTCTTCCTAGATACTTTCATGGTGGAAGATGCGGTGGAAGCCATTGGATTTGGGAAGTTCCAGTGGAAGCTCTCTGTAATTACTGGATTAGCATGGGCAAGTAATTGTTATCAAGGTCAATTGCATGATCATCAGTTAGAGAATCTCAGTGATTTCAATTAATGTAGCCATTCTCTGCAGACAAAAAAAGTCTCCAAACAGTTGTACAATAAAGAATGACTTTTACTTGAAATACTGAAGTGACAGCTGGACTGAAACTTGGTATGTTGGGGTAACGAATAACTGATTGATTTCTCTGTTTCTGAAGTTCTTATAAATGACGTTTATTTCTTATAAATCAAGTTCTTATAAACCAGAAGTTCTTATAAATGACCTTTATTTCTTATAAATCAAGTTCTTATAAACACTTGTTTCAAATGGAAAGAGCACTAGGTTATTCCTACAGGAGGAGATCTCAGTTTTCATGCAGTGATTTTTACCACATTAGCTACAAACTCTGTTTTCTGTATTAGTCAGTATTATTGTAGTCTCAGTTTCAGGTGAAGAGCAATCCAGTACTTCTAGTTCTATCCTTAATAACAAGAACAGAAAGACGGGCTTTGTTTTCACTTTTCTTCTATTTCTGAAGCACTAGATGTTACATCTACTGTGCTATATTTTCGGGTAATGGTATCTGGAGCCTGTGCTTACTGGTTAGTATCTCTGTATAAGGTTACAATCTGCCATGGTTTATGTCTTAAATCAGTAGCAGAATTTGGTCTATACATGATCTATCCATATATTTGATACAAATCCAGAAGTAGTATATAAAGGAGACAGGAAGTTATAAGGTAATAAGCAGCTCTGACTGAATCTGTGTGTAAAGGAGTTGAAAGCCCACCCTGGTAATGAGCAACATGAAAGTGAATGAGCTTGGATGACTGACCAAACAAGCCCTTTTGATTTGGCTCTTGGAACCCTCTCTGCCAGTGTTACTAAACATTAGAACAATCAGAAATTAGTTTAAAAATGCACCTGTTGCTTTCTTTCTCTCCACTGTGTACATCCACTGTACCTTGCAAACATAACTGGTTTGTTTCACCTACTGAATGGGAATGGCACAGAGCAGAAATGAGGTTAATTTCAGGAAGGTATAATATTGGCTGCTATGTCAATCTAATTTTCAGGCAGTTACTTATTTTTGTTTCTTTTTCACCCTTCTAGATGGCAGATGCTATGGAAATGATGATTTTAAGTATCCTAGCTCCACAGCTTCATTGTGAGTGGCGATTACCAAGCTGGCAGGTTGCATTGCTCACATCGGTAGGAAAAATAACTGACAGCTCCTGTATTCTGTAAGGTTTTTCCACTCGTTGTTCAGACATTCTGCTGTATATCCCAAAGTTAAATCTGTTCATGGCCTTTGCAGAGTACCTTTGGCTCGGAAGAATATAGGAGTCTTTTTTAAAAGCCAGGGCTTGAAGAAATGAAACTCAGTGAGAACTGAGGGTATTTTGCAACTTTCAAGTTCAAAGTTTCGTGTAATTTGCAGGAAAATATATGAATTGACAGAGACTCATACTAAAATTAAACCATTTTATTAATTAAAAAAAAAAAAAGATTGGTAAATTTTGACTATCTTTCTTGAAAATCTTTCTCTCTCACCACATTTAAGCTCAATTATACACAGACAGACTGGGAGATGTGAGAGAGAGCAAGCAATCGCTTTTTGAGGTGGATCATCCACTGATCTCTGCAAACAGAGCTCTTATAATACCACGTCTGAGCATGGTGCTGTGATGTTGGAAACATGCAATGCCTTTGGGGATAAGAAAACTAGTTTTGGGGCTCCTCTCAGCATATGCCACTGTTGTATGGCATGCACTCTAACTCCTACATTTCCTTTAGCTTTTGATGGCATTTGCGGTGGTCAAAATGCTCAGTAGATTTAAATCAGTTAAAATCATGTCCTTTGCCATACCCAAAGGAGAGTCTTGTTCCTTCTTTCAGCTCAGCACAATTTTATTCTTGCTGAGCAAAATGAGAAGGAGAAGGGGTCAGCAGACACAAGACAAAAGCTTTGACAAACAGAACTGCTTCTTACCCCACTTATTGCCTGAGTATGCACTTTTTTCTCAGACAAAATTCCTTTGGTTTTAACGTGCTGATGGGGGAAACATGCTTGGGTTTTGCCATTACCTTCACTGGGCAGGATTTCATTTCTCCAGCTACAGAACAAACTATACGCTTGGTGTCAGCTCTGAAAAGGGTACAATATATTTTCTTTGACACCTCAGTCTTTTTTTCAGATTTTTCTAAAGCTGTAAGATGTAATTTTGTCTCCATTCCAATCGGAGACACCCTGAGAAGGGCAGTAGGAGACTGGAGATGAGCTGGCTGAGAAGTGCTGCATCACACAGGGCTCCTACAACAGCTCTGTCTTGTGGATCTCAGGCAACTCTGATCAGCTTTTATTCATGAATATGTTCATTGAAACTGGAGAACTCAGTGTCTTCACAGGCTGAACTCAGAATGTGTGTAACACCAGAGTGCACGTTCTAGTGTCAGACTGGTTTGTTACTGAAGGGATCTTTTAATTGCAAAGCTGACTTGAGGGGTGCCTCGTTGCTTCCCCTCTCCAAACCAAGCATTTCCTCCTGTCTCCACTTGCCTGTCCCCTCAGTAACACTGATGAAACTCTCAGTGGGGCCTGAGATGAAAGATAATTTTCTGGGTTATGAAAACCCTTCAGCTAAAAAACCCCACAACTCAGAAACAAGAAAATGCTTTCCATTTAGTGGTAAATTGTGCGCTTCAGTCATTTCTTATAATTCATTTTCTTCCATTTATCGAAAGCTCAAAAATATTCAGCACTGGGCTAGTTCAGTTCATAAATTAACAGGTAAGATGAAGGTGAGGGGATGACAAGTAGCCTGGCAGCTACTGGAAATGGGCCCAAAACTGGAAGAAACTGAGAGACCTTGGCTTGAACAGGCTGCTGAAGCTCAGCCCTATTCCTGGGCAATAGCAAATTCAAGCTTCAAGTCAATGGAAGTGAAGTTAGTGATTTCTGAAAAATCCCACTATATGAGTAATTATATTTAATAGTCTCTACTATAAATTAACTATACCCAGAACACCTGGACATTTTGCTCTATTGTTAAAATCGAATTTTTCTCGGGTCACTATGAAGTTGTGTTCTCTTTGCTGTCACATGAAATTTCTCACTTGTCTTCTTGTTAATGGGAAGATTTTTTTCTGGTGTTTCTTAGGTGGTGTTTGTGGGAATGATGTCCAGCTCCACCCTCTGGGGAAACATTTCAGACCAGTATGGGAGAAAAACAGTAAGTCTTCAGCTCCTGCTAGAATATATTCTAATATTTCTACAGTGTGGATGTTTCAGTGCATGATGTTCACAAAAGTCGTAGTCCACATGTATGAAGCAGAACTAGGCAGAGCCAGAATTGGCCTCCCATGAAATGAAAGGAATTTGAAGCTCTGCTTTATGTTTTGTTAATTTATATCACAGCAGAAGGTCATTTCCTCGTGTTTGTTTGTTAAATACAGGGCCTAAAGATCAGCGTGTTATGGACGCTGTATTATGGGATCCTCAGTGGTTTTGCACCAGTTTACAGCTGGATCTTGGTGCTGAGGGGCCTGGTGGGCTTTGGGATTGGAGGAGTGCCTCAGTCGTAAGTAAATATTCACAAGTCCAAACTTTCTCTTTTCTATTTATTTTTTTTTAAAATGCTTATGTCAGATTGAAGACATGCTTCTGTTCAGTTGTCCCAAACCCATTTTTCTCTAAGTATTTCAGAAATAATATATTAATCTCTGAGAAGGCTTTGAGGATATCTAATACATCACTGAAGTGAATCAGATTTACAATTACTTTTATGTGAATAAGCTGGGTATATTATGTGCCTTAAGTCCTTTAAAGCTTCTCTCATTCCCTTGGGTACACTGTGGTGAAAATGAAAGTCCCAAGAGCCCACCTAGAAGTGTGTAAAACACAACAGGCAGCGTTTTGTAGCTGTGGCTAAACATTGTGGTGCTGGGTTGTCTTGGCAGAGTCCATAAAGGATGGCATGGTCTTGTTGCAGGATAGTTCATGACCTAAACACTAGCATTGAGGGGTGGAGCTGGGCCCTGACTCCAGGTGTGTGTAAAACTGCAGATTATTGTTCAATCACAGCCCAAACTTGCAGGTCTGAACCTGAGTTGGAATTCCAAAACCACACAGCCTAAACCTGGAGCACTGAAGATACCATGATGGCTCGGACACATTTCTAATAAGAAGGCAGGATCAGGGTATTTTTCTATTACTGTGTCATTCCATTCACTGAAGAGGAGGATCTGGAATAAATAACTCTGTTCTAGGCTTTTAATTATAAATGTAAAGGGAAGAGTATAGCCATTCTCTCTCTGTGTAGTCTTTTATCCTTATTAATAATAGATTTTTTTGCCCCATGGAGGTGCTATTTCAGAGTAATCAGAGTCTAACTTTGATTGATGCCTCATAGACTTCTTCACAAGGCAAGTCAATATCCTGTCTTTTCTATTGCCATTACCAGATAAAAGATTCAGAGCTGAGATGGAACATCACGGTATTATTAATTTTCTTTCACTGCTCTCCTGCCCACTTTTAGAAGCTGCACAAATGCAGAACACACATGTAAAATAGGAAAGTCCGTTGCCTGCTGTGTGTTGACCACCAGCGAGGCAGTTTCTGCCATGCAGTTCCAACTGAGCACAACTGGAATGAGGCAGGAGAACCACAAAGACCAAGTGTTGGAGTTAATAATGTCTTGTACTGTGAACACATATTGATGATGTTCTGCAGAGCCCCAGCAGAGCAGCTACAGCCCAGCCAGAGCCGCCTGACAGAGGGGTGGATAATGCACAAAGGCGACGTGACTTACAGAGAGACAAAGAAGAGCTGGTTACAGAACTCAAGAGGGGATTCCACTGCTGCTGAGTCTGTTTCTTGTTCCAACTGTAATAGCGATTCTTTTGGCAGAGAAGTAAATATGTATGAAGCAGGTCCTTTCTAACATCCTTAACTTTGGCTGTGAGTGCCTAAATGTCAATGGAATGACATGGGTGTCTTTATAATTGTATAGTATTCTATAATGGGTAGGAGGGAGAGATGTATATGAAAGGTGCTATTAAAAAGAAAACATCCAGCAATAATAAATTAACTGGCTATAGCAGATATCCCTCTATTCTTATGTATGTAGGAGCTGCACCTGAGAAGCTGTGGCCTCCTCTGGGAATTTTCTGCCAGATATTATCTAACGCTGAGTATGACCATTCATCCACAGTGCCAACATCTGGACTTGCAAAGATACGGAGTATTCTCTTGAGAAAACAGTTCTGTACAGCATTAATCAACTCCTGTTTTCTGCTGTGACAGATAGGGGACTGCTCTACACTTCATTATGTGATTTTACTTCTTTCTCCTCTTAATCACTGGTTTAATACAATATTGCAGGCAACTTTCTACTCCAGTGAACTGAGCTCTAGGAAGCTACTCGAAGATCAATCTACCATTTGTTAAGTTAGTAGGAGTTTTGACACAAACATCAAAGAAATGAGCGTAGAGGCATAAACAGGATGAGTCAATGGAATGCAAACAGAGGAGGAGCAAAGAATGACAAGCCTTGCCAGCTGGTTTGAAGAAGACAAGAGAGCCTTGACTGGCTGCTGACCTTTGCGTTCCTCCTCGGGAAATGCTCTCAGAGAAGCCATACTATTACTCTTTGGCACAGTCATGAAACAAAGACTCTGCAGAG